AGGGTGGAGGGTCGACGAAAGAGGGGGAGGCCTTCAATGAGATGGATTGACACAGTGGCTGCGATGATGGGCTCAAGTATAGCAGGGATTGTGGGGCTGATGTGGGATCGGGCAGTGTTTCATTCTGCTGTGCATGGGGTCGCTATGAGTCGGGAACGACTCGACGGCACTTAACAACAACAACAACATGCCACCTCCTGAAATAGATGAACATTAACTAATTCTTTTTGGTACAGTGACTCTGTATTCCTTCCATCTTCTTTTGATGTTTCCTGCATCATTCAATATATTGCCCATAGAATCTTCCATTATTGCAACTCGAGGCTTGAATTTTTCTTCCGTTCTTTCAGCTTGAGAAATGTCGACCATGTTTTTTTCCCTTTTGGTTTTCTAATTCCAGGTCTTTGCACATTTCATTATAATAATTGACTTTGTCTTCTCAAGCTGCTCTTGGAAATCTGTCCAGATCTTTTTACTTGTCATTTCTTCCATTTGCTTTAGCTGCTCTCCATTCAAGAGCAAATTTCAGAGTTTCTTCTGACATCCATTTTGGTTTTTTCTTCCTTTCCTGCCTTTTTAATGACCTATTGCTTTCTTGATGAATGATGTTCTTGATGTCATCCTACAATTCCTCTGGCTTTTGGTCAGTGGTGTTCAATGTGTCAAATCTATTCTTCAGATGGTTTGTAAATTCATGTGGGATATAATGAAGGTCATATTTTCACTCTCATGGTCTTGTTTTGGGAGCTCTGATGGCGTAGTGCCTAAGGTGTTTGACTGCTAACCAGAAGGCTGGCAGTTCAAACCCACCAGCCACTCTTTGGAAGGAAGATTGGGCTTCTACTTCTGTAGAGATAATGCCTCAGAAATCCAAGGAGGGGTCACTATGAGTCAGATATGACTTGACGGCAGTGAGTTTGGCTTTTTGGTTTGGACTTGTTTTAATTGTCTTTGGCTTCAACTTGAACTTGCATTGAGCAGTTGATTATATGTTCCAGAGTCAGCTCCTGGCCTTGTTTTGGCTGAAGATATAGAGGTTCTCCATTGCTTCTTTCCACCAATGTAGTTGATATGATTCCTGTGTATTCCTCAGTGGCTAAACAAATAGCCACTGTTTGTGTTGTTGGAAAAAGGTATTTGCAGTGAATAAGTCAGTGGTCTTGCAAAATTCTATCATGCGATCTCCGGCGTCATTTCTATCACCAAAGCCATGTTTTCCAACTACTGGTGATTCTTCTTTGTTTCCAACTTTTGCATTCCAGTCACCAGTAATAACACATATTGATTGCATGTTTGGTCAATTTCAGACTGCAGAAGTTGGTGAAAATCTTCAATTTCCTCATCTTTGGTTTTGGTGGCTGATGTGTAAATTTGAATAATAGTCACATTAACTGGTCTTCTTTGTAGGCGTATGAATATTTTCCTATCATTGACAGCATTGTACTTCAGGATAGATCTTGAAACATTTTTTGTGACAATGAGTGCCAGACCATTTCTCTTCAATATCTCATTCCCGGCATAGTACATCATATGGTTGTCTGATTCAAAATGGCCAAAACCAGTCCATTTCAGCTTGCTAATGCCTAGGATATCGATCTTTATGCATCCCATTTCATTTTCTCACAATTTCCAATTTTCCTACATTCATGCTTTGTACATTCCATGTTCTGATTATTAATGGATGTTTACAACTGTCTCTTCCCCTTTTGAGTTGTGTCACATCAGCATATGGAAGTCTCAAAAGATTTACTCCACCCATGACATTAAGGTTGTCTACTTTGAGGAGGCAGCTCTTCCCCAGTCATATTTTGAGTGTCTTCTGACCTGAGGGGCCCATCTTCCAGTACTATATCAGACAATGTTTCAGCACTATTCATAAAGTTTTCCAGTTATATATCAGACAGTGTTTCACTGCTATCATAAGGTTTTTACTGGTCAATTCTTCAAGAACCAGATGGCCCCTTCTTTCTTCCGAGCCGGTCTTAGTCTGGAAGTTCTGCTGAAACCTGTCCACCATGGTTGACCTTTCTGGTATTTGAAATACCAGTAGCGTAGCCTCCAGCTTCACAACAATGTGCAAACCTCCACAGTGCAACAAACTGACAGACCCTAAACTGCCTGACCCTAAATTCCATGCTCATAACCATTATATTCTTCTGGCTCTCTGGGGAAGAGATGATCAGAAAGCCAGGGATGTGGAGGAGAGGGCAGCGTGGGTGTGGTGAATATATGCTCAGGGCTGAATGTGAATACTTGTCAGTGGGCAGTCTCCAAGAAGCAGGTGAGGCAGAGGGCAAAAAGAAAAGACAGTCAGGAAATTTTCCTTCTACCCAAGACATCCTCCAGCTAGTTCCTAAAGACTGTGCATGTAAGAAGGCACCCAAGGAGATGTAGTGCCCCATAGGAGGTGGTGACCCAAGTCCCTGATATAAGAACAGTGGGAACACATGTGCAGCAGAATCAGGTTTGCAGGATTTGGAACAGAGACAGGGCCCCTGGAGTCCAAGATGCAAGGAATTAGGAGGGTCCCAGAGACTTATGGATGGGGGAGTTTAACCAGGCTGAGATGGACCTCTCCCTATGGGTAGAAGTGTGGCAAATCCTGTCATAGGTTGCAAGTTGGTGAGGAGGATTGTCCAGCTGTGAGAGGACCAGAGAGCAGGTGAGGGTGAAAATGATTAGCCCATAAGCTAAAGCACAGTATCTTCCCAACTTGCTGATTCTGAAGCCAAGGAGAATGTTCCTGAGCCTGTGGAACATCACTTCCATCTAGTAACCACCAGAATTCAACATTGTAGCTGCCCAAAAGCTGAGACCCACAGAGTAAGAGGTAGGAATGTAGAGATCCCAGGGAAACTTTATCCTCTACCCACTCCCAGCTGTACCCCTATGTTCTCCAGATAAAATTCCTGTACCTCAGGCTCCCCATATCCCACCAGGCCCCACCCCATCTTATAGCCATACCCCCTCTTCTCCATGTAGGGCAGCATCTGGCTCAGCAGCAGGGCTGGGGCCTTCACATTGATATTCAGGATCTGAAATCAGGGCAGGGGAGTGGAGGAGGGCAGAGAGAGACAGTCAGCCAGGGCCCATTCTCTCAAGACACTTGGTGTCCTACCATATGTGCAACAAACCCAAATGTGTACATATTTGAGGGACTAACCTCCCTTCTGGCTGGAGAAAGGAGTGTTTCCAAGTTTCTAATGATTTAACAGGCAGACAAGCTAAGTGACAGGCCCATCACTCGAATCCTGAAAATGTGAATTGTTCACAACTGGGGTGAAGGAAGGAAATGCCAAGCCTCTTAAAGACTATGTTCCAGTTGTGCTGATAAAGTCTGTAAGTAGAAGGCACTGCAATAAGACTGAAGACAGAACAGATGGAGGAGGAGCAGGTGGGTGCTGGAAGCAAGGGGGATTTCTGAAACAGTCATCTTTGTCTTTCTGAGTCTTTTTGTTTATGTGCTTGTCTTATCCCAATAGAATTTACGGTATATGTACAATACAACTGGATAAAATACATCAAATAGGTATTACACATGAAGAAGAGAAATAAGAAAAATAAATAAAGGTAGAAAAATCAAGAACAAAGTTGGTGCCCACAGTTCACAACACATGGTAAGGACTGAGTATTAGTCTATTTTTTGTTCATAAGAATGAATGCTGGGTAGTCGCAGTGGACATCAAGCTCAATTGGCATAACATACTACACAAAACATTGTTCCATCTCCTACTTTGGCGAGTAGCAACTGGAATCTTAAAAGCTTGCAAGCTGCTATCTGGATGCAACAATGGGTCTCTCCTTGTCCAGAGTGAAAAAGAATGAGGAAAACCAAAGATTCATGGAAACAATTAATCCTAGCGACTGATACACCATGAGATCCACAGC